TAAGTTCCAAAAATTACAAAGGCTAATCAAAAAGGAAAAGCTTCACAACCAAGAAATGATTGCTCAAGTAGAAGTTAAGTCTAAATAAAGAGTAATTTCAATGAGAGAACTGGAATACACAGTTTTAGAATTGGAAAAAGAAAGTAAAAAAACTTGTGATTTTTGCTCTAAATTTGAAAACAAAAATAATAAATCTGTTCACCAAATAAGATCTCGTAGCAAAGTAACTGGAGAATGAATTTCAGATGACATGGTTTGTGAAAGATGTGAAGAAAAGTATTGGGATGATGAATTGTCAAAGTGCAATAGATGTGGTAGATTGCAAACTAAGTTAGATTTTGAGATTGTTAATGGTAAGAATGTTTGCTACTGTATTAGAAACAATGAAGATTTAGAAGAGAAAAAACTTCCTCTCTTATCTCATGAAGAACTAAGTCATTCTACTTTTTATGAAAGACAAATAAACTCCCTACAAGAACAACTAAACAAAACCGAAATTGAAAGGGAAGAAGTAATCAAATTTCAAGAAAAGTCTAAGGAATGAGGTAAGAGGCAAAAGCAAGAACTTTTGGATAGAATAAAGGAATTGGAGACGAACTAGAAAGTTTAAAAAATTAACCCCTAAAGAACTAGTTGATAAATTAAGTGCTAAAGAAAAGGAAATCAATGATTTAAAAGTTCAATTAACCCAATTGCAACAACAGAATGGTCAAATTGCTCAAATTGACGTTAAAGAGACTAAAAGATGATCTTGATTGAAAATGAGAAAGTAGTTTTTGTATAAATTGAAATTCATTTCAACTATCAAAGAAATGGTAGTTATTTTCCTTTTAAGATTTTTGCTTTTTGTTAGGTAATAATGCATCATCACGATGTTTTCTTTTTCTAACATTTATTGTTTTTCTTTCTTCTTGGTAAATTTCATAAGTAATCCTTTCTTTCCTTAGATAGTTTCTAGTGTCTGAGTATCATTTATTTTGAAAATATAAGGAGCATTTTTTTCACCTTGTTCTTTCTTCAAAATACTTCTGATGGTACTATAATTCTTGGGTTCCATAGTAGATCTAATGTAAATGAGTTTCATTATGTTATTTTTATATAGGAGTAGTATTATATAGTATATTACTTAACAAATGGGACATTATAAACTAATTGTGATGATAGTAACTAAATTTTGAACCCTGAAATCCTTGGTAATACCAATGTTCACTTTGTCTGGTTTTGTTGCAGCATGCCCCATTTATTCATTATAGCTATTTATATGTTTATTTTATTTTTCTAAATTATAATAATATTTCTTATAATAAACTTTTTACAGTTTTCTGATTCTTGTTAAATGGTGATATTGCAAGGTAGTCTTTTGGTTAATGCTGATTACAGCTTAACTTTTGGACTACTCTTGTCAGTTAGTTGTAAGCAACTCACAACAATTTGATGCTTATCAATTAATTAGTTTACAATTTACTTTGGTCCTCACTTACTGCCTCTTTCTTGTATGTGAATCATTGTTTATTTATTTTTACTGTATGGTCTTTGAAATTTATTTATTATTTAACAATAAAATAATGGTATATGAACATCTATAGAATTGACAAGGAAATTTATATTTCCAATGATATTAACAAGATACTATTTTTATTTAAATTCTATGGCAGCCTGATAAATTATTTAATTAAAGGAATAAAAATTATTATTGATATAATAATATGCTATATGTTAGTTGAAAAATAGCATCATTGATATCACTTAATCCTGTATAAAAGTTAAAATGCACATATTGTATAATTTGTAAGTTACAGTGTGTTACAAAAAAATTGGAAATTTTTAAATGAACATTGTGAAACAACTACTGTATTAGTTCGTGTGAAAAATGGCTCATTTGATAGCTTAAAATCATAATTTTTATTGATAATATTTTAATAAGAAATCCTTTCGCCA